CACACACCCCCCGTGTCTGTTCCTTTAGTGTCAGGGGGAGAAAAAATAAATAAAAATGTGAAAAGACGCTCACAGTCGGCCCCCATTTGCTTACACACACACACACACACACACACACACACACACACACACACACACACACACACACACACACACACACACACACAGAGCCCCTCTGTTCTCATGTTGGGCTGAATCCTGTTCAGTTCTGTCTCCAGCCTCAAACTGTATTGGGCGGATTTAAAAACGGCGCTTCAGGTAAAGGGAAACAGGAAACAAACGTCGTCTCCTCACCGGCTGCATGCCCTCYGCCATCTCTCCAGAACCGATGTGCGTCAGGTGGATGAAGTTTGTCGGCTCTCCGATCATGCTGCGATCGATCTTCCTCCTCCTCTTCTTCTACACATACAGACACATTATTYACTTTAGGAAATCAATCATCTTCAGCACTTTTTAGTTCTTAAGTTTGATTGTGACTCACCCAGTCAAAGGAAATTAACATCAATTGTACCCTACATATAATAAATTATTTAATGAAATRTTTGTTTCATCTTGAAATAAAGGCATGAAAATGGGTCATTATCCTCCCCAAATTTGATTAATTCAACCTCTTGTTTGAAAAATCAACCTCAGTGTGAGATCTCAGGGAAAATGTAACAAAGCTGTGGGTCATGACGRAACAATGAGCCTTTAAAGCAGCTCGTTCAAAGGTCACATTTCATTAATGTCAATTAAAAAATCTCCACTTATGTCCCAGGTGAGACGTAAAACCGGAAATAATCAGCTTCTTTAATAGTTTTAATAAAGTCCTCGTGTGTCTCTCTGATGTGTCTCCGCATGTCCACATACTCGCTGACTCAAATCATCTCTGTGAATCACGCAAGAACAAAAAAATAAATTAATTTTAAAAAGTGATGCAACAATAAAGAGAGAAGGAAAAACACAGAACTCTAAAGCCTCATAATGGTTTGCAGATTTTTTTTCCCTCAGAGTTGAACACAACGGGTTTATTATCAGAAAACACATCTGGCACCTGAAACTGGGCTTTCATTTACGGGTCTTCAGAGAGCAGCTCYCTGTGCTGCGTTCAGGGTCGCTCCGAACTCTGGCAAACAGCCACCGAAYGTCTCATTAAAATCCCATTCTGGTCCCAAAGTCCAGTAAATCCCACGCCGTGGAAACACATCCCGGCCACAATTATGACTATTTAGATGTGATTTAAGAGGCTTATGCTCCTCTGGATTATTTGGAGCTTTTTATGTAACCCAGCAGAGATGAACACGACCGAGGAGTCGGGTTTTCAAGATCACAAGAAATCTTGTGTTTGATGAAAAAAAGAGCAACGGGATTTAGAAAAGAAAACAGTTTTACACTCAAAGCATAAAAGTGAAGGCACTGTCRATGGTTTCTAATTTAACTGGTCTTCATATTAACCTTTTCCAGTGTAACTTATTTGCATTTATTTAGCTACATTTCATTATTTATGTTAAATTAATAAATAATCAATACAAATGATGGAAAACTAATATTATAATACTGACATATAAATGATGACAATTTTTAGCTACTGCTCTGCATTTTCTTTTAGCTAATTCTTTGTTTCTTTAGCTACCATTCTTCCTTTAGCTAATATTCTGCTTCCTTTAGCTACTGTTCTTTTTCTTCTTTTAGCTACTGTTACACTCTTAGCTACTATTCTTCTTTTGAATACCATTCTTCTTGTTTTGGCTAACAAAGGCAYATTTTAGTTTTTAGCTTTTGCTATGCTACCTTGTGCTTTTAGCTACAATTGTGCTTCTTTAGCTACTATTCTGTGTCTTGATTTTTACCTATGGTTTTGATATCTTTAGCTTCTGTTTCACAGATTTTTGCATTTGTTTTCTTACTCTTAGCTACAGTTTTGCTAATTTTAGCTTTATTTTTTTCTTTAAACCTTTATTTTGTTACTTTTAGCAAGAGTTCTGTTGCTTTTACATTGCAGSTAGTATTCTGCTTTTTTAAGCTGCTTTCAACCCCAACAACTGGGCTTCAGCAAAGTTCTTTGGCTCAGCGTTCACACTGCATTTTCACAGAAAGCACACTTCGTTTTATTGGTTAAATTAAATTTATTTAATTTTTCTGTCATTTCCTTTTTCACTGAAGACATCAGCTCTGTCTGCGAGCATTTCTGATTCTTGCAGTTAAATCCTGAACAGGACCTCATCATGTAGATGATCTAACAGCTTCCTGTGGTCAACCAGCTGGGAGTGAATCATCGCTCGGCCTACAGGCATCCTCCTCCACAACTATAACTGTCACCACAGCAACAACGTGAAAAAAAAAGCAACGGAACAGCACTGACGTACAGACTGGAAAGACTTTGAGCTTTTAGATATAACCCAGATGGCTCCATGTTTTTATCAAACTGCCATTTTACTGAATCTCTTTACTTTTCGTGGTCCTTTTGTGTCTCTTGTATTTCTTTGTGGCTACTTGGTGAACTGATATGATCACAACGTGGACGCTCGCTCAGCTAATCCAGTCAGACTTTAAAGAGATAAGTGTTTGTAAAAAAAAGACAAACTAAGGTGTACTCAACCCAGAGCAGGTTTGTTACGAAACACAGAGGCTGCTGCTCAGTTACTGAACAAACAAGACGATAAAAAACAGTCCTGGCAACCTTTGTTGGGTTAATAAACAGCTCTGTTCTTCATTAGAATGGCCATTGTAATGTGAGTCATCTACAACATGGTGAGAAACAGGCTGGTATTTCAAAATAAAGCTGCGGTCACAGAACATGGTTCACAGACCTCCCAGAGAGGATCTTTAACATCCCAAACATGCCTGACTGCGGAGAAAATGAATAACTAATGATACACTCAGAGCATTTCATCCTCAAAGTACGGGTTTATTTGTGGTTCCTAGAGTTTCTAAAAGTAAAATGGACCATCTGGACCATAGAACCTACACATGGACCATAGAAACTGCATTTGGACCATAGAACCTACACATGGACCATAGAAATTGCACCCGGACCATAGAAATTGCACCCGGACCATAGAAACTGCACCCGGACCATAGAAACCGCACCTGAACTATAGAAACTGCAYCTGAACCATGGAAACTAAACCTGAACCATAGAAACTACACCTGGACCATAGAACCTACACCTGGACCACAGAAACTACACCTGGACCATAGAAACTACACCTGGACCACAGAAACTACACCTGGACCATAGAAACTACACATGGACCATAGAAACTACACATGGACCATAGAAACTGCACCTGGACCATAGAAACTACACCTGAACCATAGAAACTACACCTGAACCATAGAAATTACACCTGGACCATAGAAACTACACCTGGACCATAGAAACTACACCTGAACCATAGAAACTACACCTGGACCATAGAAACTACACCTGGACCATTTAAACTACACCTGAACTATAGAAACTGCACCTGAACCGTAGAAACTACACCTGAACCATAGAAACTACACCTGGACCATAGAAACTACACCTGGACCATAGAAACTACACATGGCCCATAGAAACTGCACCTGGACCATTTAAACTACACCTGAACTATAGAAACTGCACCTGAACCATAGAAACTACACCTGAACCATAGAAACTCCACATGGACCACAGAAACTAGACATGGACCATAGAAACTGCACCTGAACCATAGAAACTGCACCTGAACCATATAAACTACACAAGGACCACATAAATTGCACCTGAACCATAGAAACTACACAAGGACCATTGAAACTGTACCTGGACTATAGAAACTACACATGGACCATAGAAACTACATCTGGACCATAGGACATACACCTGGACCATAGAAATTACACCTGGGCCATAGGAACTTCACCTGGACCATAGAACTGTACCTGTACCATAGAAACCATACCTGTAACATTGAAACTACACCTGGACCATATAAACTGCAGCTGAACCATAGAAACTACACCTGGACCATAGAACCTACACCTGGACCATAGAACCTACACCTGGACCATAGAAATTACACCTGGACTATAAAAACTACACCTGGACCAGAGAACCTACACCTGGACCATAGAAACTGCACCTGAACTATAGAAACTACATATGGACCATAGAAACTACACCTGGACCATAGGACATTCACCTGGACCATAGAAATTACACTTGGACTATAAAAACTACACCTGGACCATAGAACCTACACCTGGACTATAGAAACTTCACCTGGACCATAGAAACCATACCTGTACCATAGAAACCGCACATGTACCATATAAACTACACTTGGACCATATAAACTGCAGTTGAACCATAGAAACTACACCTGGACCATAGAAAGTACACCTGGACCATAGAAACTACACATGGACCATAGAAACTACACCTGGGCCATAGAAACTACCCCTGGACCATAGAAACTACACCTGGCCCATAGAAACCTGGAACAGTCATTCTGTGTTTGTCTGTGCCTCTTCAGATTGATTAAACTCAAACACTGTCCTGTTGTTTCTCGTCCTGAACCCAGGGGTCCAGGCCTCGTAGACCCATCCAGACTTTCTTACATTTATCTTCTAAAGCTGGAGAGTTAAGGTTTCGAGTGAAGTCACTGCTGGCGCGGCCATGCGTTTGAGTGTTTATCAAAGGTGTATTGTTGCAGCGGCACAATAGAACAAACAGAAAACTCTAAAAATACAGGCAGAGGAAGGAGGAAGGGTCTCTGGAGAGAAGCCCGGCGAGGCAGAACTTCCTCTCGGTGCTTGAGCACGCCAGCGTGTTGACAACACACCACTGTGGCAAACATGCACATGAAGCTACATGTGGGGGGTTCCACTCCCATAGCCGCAGGGGTTCTGTTAATCACATACTTATTTAATGAGTTAAACATTAYTGTCACACTTTGTCCAAGCGTTTGCCTCACGCAGCTAAAGCAACAATCCAAAACTCAAAATAATAAAAAAGAAAAAAATCTGTTTTAGATAACAAGGAATCAACAAACAATCGTGGTTAAAATTCTCCTAATGATGAAGAGAACTGTTCACAGAAACTGTAGCTCTTTTTTTGTGCATAAAATGGAGCATAAAAAGGGGAACTGAGAGGCGGCAATGAGAAAGGTCAGATATCAAGGTGAAAGTGGAAGTTATGTCTGATGTTTTGCATTTGTCTACGTGTGTCTGCATGTGTATGTTCTTGTTTTTCTCCTATGGTTTAGGTTATTTTGAAACGTCAGCGAGGACGTGGATGTTTGTTCGCACTTCTGATGATTCAGGAAAGATGAATCCAAAAGCTTCATTTTATCAGTTTCGCTATCAAATAGCCCATGCATAAAGATTACTGCATATATAAGTCACTAATGAATTAAACTATTACAGTTACTCATGTTTTTAATCACATTTATATATTTTATTAAGTAATTCCATTGCATGTAGCACCTCATTAGTAGGAAATAACAAAAAAAATTAGCTTGGATAAGCTGCCTGCTTGTGCAAGTTTTTGCTTGTCATAAGAAAAACTGACAAGTAGGGCTGCAAAAAAGCAACTCTTATTTGCTTTGATGGATCAGTTTCAGTGGTTTGACAAAGCACCGCCTGATAATCGGCATGAAAAACTGTCACTCAGTGTGGGAAAGTTGTTGTTTTTTTACACGCAACTTTTGCCAGATTAATTAAGTTTATCTCTTTTTTTTCCTGAGGAGTTTTTTTTTAATTTTTTACAAGAATCCTCACCAAAGTACAGAGGGTAATAATGGGAGGGGGTGTCTCACCGGTGGGGGTTTTGCCACTACACAGCAGCCCATCTTGTGCCAGAAGTCGCTCATGCCAATGCTCTGCCTGTCCAGCGGCCGGCCGTTGATCTCTGCTGCCGCCCTGCAGGCCGGAGGAGGAACTGCAGCCTGAGGATAATCCTGGGGCATCCAGACAAAAATGCGGCGCTGATGTAGACACTCAGAAAACCAAAGACACCAGATCTACCCCACCACAGAGGCAAAAAATGGGACTCCAGAAGTGTCACGCAAAATAAAAAAAAACAAAGGTATCCAAAAGGTTATTTCCTTTGTTAATGGATCCTCAAAGGTTGAAGAAGTTGAAAAAAGTGTCTCCAAATTAAATGTCCAAAAATCCTAAACGTGAGAACAGATCTTCCAGTTTTATCTGTCAAGAAAGAAAAAATAAAGTTTTTTTTTATTAGAGTCAAAACTGTTTCCCCGGAGACTCAAAAACAGATCAAAATGTTCTCGGAGTGTCCTCACAAGAAGGAAGCTCACCGATGATTTATCCTGCCAGATTGTGTAATTTCATCTTTTGCAACAAGACTGAGAGTTGCTTCTTTTATTAGTCACACCCCTTACCTGTAAGCGTTTTAATCCATCAGCAGCCAAGATTTATTTAAGCCTCTCAGCTGCTCTTTATCTGAGATTAGCGCCAAACCAACCAAACGCTTTGATATGAATTTAAATTGTTTAATAGATTTACTGAATCTAAGTTTAAAACAGCCAGCTAGTCTAAAAAGTGGCTAAATTTAAAGCCATGACAGTGAGATTAAAGCATGCCAGTGACAAAGACACAGTATCTACTAACATCAGCCGCTCTGACCAAATAAGGCCACACTGCTGAAGCTTTCTCAGCTGCATGAAAAACAATGTCATGGAATACRTGATTACATTTCTCAGACTCTTAAACAGCACTTGTGCTCCAAAACAATCGCCACATCTCTGGAAAAAAAAAAGGAAGAGAAAAACCCAAACGTGATTTAACTCGACCAAAGTCCTCACAAACGCAGAGAAACGTGGACTCGCTCTGTCACTGAGCTGCATGGGAACCAAACCCTCGGAGACGTCAACACGGCAAGCCCATTAAGCATGACTAAACACTAGGTGTGGTCCAAACACAGAGCAGGAAGAAGCAGACACACACACACAGGAACACACACACACACACTCAGGACTGTGTTGAATTTAATGTTTCTTTTTTAGCTCTTGTTGATTTCAGATAAAGTAAACTGAACCAAATATTCCTGAGCCTAAGATGAAAGCTACATTCCAGCTGCYGATTAAATCTGTGAGTATCAAACACACATCTGATTTTTGACCCGTCAGGTGAAAAACATTCAGACTAATTAACTACTGCAATAAAATACAGTCAAAAGGCCATTTTATATGATAACATGAAAGACTTCTTCATTTCATTTGACTTTTGTTATTACTTTCTATTTACTTATTGTCATATCTATTATTTTATATATTTAACTTTATTTTTGTCAGCAGGAAATACAATTTTAAACTCAATGACATATCTACTTTATATAAAAAAACACAGATAAGTGTGAACTGAGAAGATGATGGCAATATAAAGGTTTTAAAATATAATTTGCATTAATGCTTTAAGGGAGAGTTGTTTAAAGGGGATATTTAATGCAAAATCCACTATTTTTAAATGTTAAATACGTGTTGTCGGGAGTCTCTAGAAGTGCAGAAAAGTTGAATTTAGTCTCTCCTGGTGCTGCAAAGATATCTTTATACTCTTTTYGGGTCATATTTTTCAGCCCGTTCAGTTTTCTCTATTTTCTATGACGTTTTCTGAACTATTAAGTCAAATTATCTACGAAAGAACTGCCAAATAAAGTCTGGACTTACCGACTACAATTTATTCATCTTAATTCTCCTCTGGCTTTGGGTCAGACTACTTTAACTGTAAATATAAGCTAGAAAACGTAGCCACCCTCTCTCAAACCGGAGTGGACCGGTCTGGAAGCAGGAGGGGGGCGGGGCTTGAAGCCTCTTAAAGGAACAATAACAAAACACATTGAGACACACATCAGAAAATGGGTGAAAGAAGGACTGGTAAATTTAGATTAGGGAAGAATTCAGACCAAAGGATTGTAGTTTCGATTTATAAAGACCCCAACTGATTACTTTAAATGTGAAAAGGAAGGATTTAAAAGCATGATATGTCTACTTTAAAGATCGTAGCAATCCAGTTTGGCCTTATCAATCTGGTCAGATTTAACGTTGTTTTTGTTTTTTGTTTTTTTCATTTGAAGCCACCTACAACACATAATATTATTTTATACTTTACAAGTGCCAGTTCCCATACAGAGAACCTGATTTCAAATTTTAACATAAGTTAAGTAAGACTTTTATAGTCTCACTCCTATAAACCTGCATGAAATGTACACCTTCAGGCGTCAGATGTAAAAACTATTTCTGTGCTTTGTGTGACTTGAACTCRTCTCGGGTGAAAACAGCGTTTACGCTCATCGATGTCGAGCGAACTCTATTCCTGAGGTGTTCAAATTAAGAAGCCTTTAGGGAGGAATTTTCTCATTTGACCTGAAAATTGGGGTTGAAGCTTCTCGGGTGTGTCACTGCTGCTTGTTCTGACAGAATTAGTCTTGCATTGATTAAAATCAATAAGATCAGAAGTCGTTTCATGAATTTAAATGCTGATTTATTTATTTTTTTGGGCGGTTTCTTTGCGGATCACCTCATCTGGACGGCAGAAGGCGTCCAGGGTCTCCTGATTACACGCGTGTCTTTCTATTCTCAGCATGTTTAAGTCCTGCTGAAGAAATGTCTGGAGTCTCTCCAACACATTGCAGCAGATGATAAGGAAAGAATGTGGAGGCCAGAAACATGTAGCTTCATGCTTCACATCCACAAAGATCAGCAGAGAGGAATTCAGCTCCAGGGTCTGACGTCCAGAAGAGGACTTCCTGTTTGGGAATCAAGCTATTTATGAAAAAAAAAATTAAATCTATTTTACAGAGTAGGGATTTTCCTCAACTCCTATCACCCACTTTTTATTTCAGTCCACTTTAAGCAGCTACACCTGCATGTTCTCGGTTTAAAACAACAAACGGCGAGGAGCGAACTGTTCCAAACGAGCCGTCACACGAAGAGAAAATTCCTGACGTCTGCACCTAATCCGACATATTTTTCACCGCCGCTCATTCAGACCGAACCGGGATTCTTGGAAAACGTTCTGGGACGAGCTGGGGAAAACAGAAAACCTCATTGTTGCGCCGCTGACAATAAGATGCAGCTGAATTGTTTCACTCTACACCTCCTCCTGTTCGGGCGTGGCGACAAACGTAATCTCAGCCGGATTACGATCTCAGATTTGTGCGAGTAAAAGGAAAGTTGCAAAATTATGGGGTCAGAGGGGAGGAGGCTGGGGCGGATGGCGGTGATGTGCAGATTTACTTTCTTCTGTTTGCATCTTTTTTGTTGTTGCTCTGATAAAGTTTACTAAAACTTGACAAACGTAAACTTTAGCTGCACAAAATGCTACAAAAAGAAGGAAAAAAAAACACTGATGCAAACGTGCTGTTTAACCTTGAAACAGAAAGGAAGGTGTCCAGACTGGTTTTAAACTTCCTGGCCTGCAGACGGCATGTGTGTGTGTGTGTGTGTGTGTGCGTGTTCTTGTTTTGCTACAGAGTGAGGACCGTCATATGTTTCTTTAACCAACAAAGTGAGGACATTTTATGCTCTGGTTAAGGTTGTGGTCAGGAATAAACCAGTAATAGTTAGGGTTAGAGAAAATGTCTGGGTTAGGCATAAATGATGTTACAAAAATGAATGGAAGTCGATACAAAGTCCTCAGTTTGATGCAAGTACAAGGATGTGTGTCATGATGTCATTGTTCTGTCTACACGTGGTCCTTGACTCTCGGGCTTCACACTGAGCAAAACCACAAGAAAAAGGAGGCAGAAAATTCAACAAAAACTGAACCATTTAGTGCCCAACGWTCTGTGCTTCTGCTGGATTATCTGTTGGCTAAAAATCTCATGAACCACTGGACAAATTCCAACGAAAACTTTTGGGAACTCATCGCTAATAGGTAGCCGAGAGTCCTCTTTGTTTTGCTTTCGTTCGGCTTCATGTCTGTGATGTGCTGGATAATTCCCCAAACATTCCCCACACCATCATCACCGCCGACCTCCTGATGTGAGATCAGCTGAGCGTTGCTCGGCTGAAACAACAACAGTCTGTAAAGTTAGACCCAGAAGGTCACGTGACCACACAGGAAGAAGAACCCGAATGACCTTTTAAAGTGACCTAATTTCTGTGAACTTCATGAGTCACTTTATTAAAAGCTTCCTTTTTTTGTTTACCTTTTTAGGCATTTGACATCACACCTGCTGCAGAAGCTAATATTTTTCTTTTAAACAGAGTTGTAAAGTAACTAAGTACAAATACTTTGTTACTGTACTTAAGTAGAAATTTTGGTTATCTGTACTTTACTTGAGTAATTATTTTTCAGCGTACTTTTTACTTTTACTCATTACATTTTTACACAATTATCTGTACTTTCTACTCACTACATTTTTTAAAAAGGTAAGAAGTAGAAAGTCACTACTCCTATTTTATTCTGAGTTATTACTTCAAAATATATTATCCTGATAAATTGTGTCTCCTGGATCAAGTGAATTTAATTGTGGTTGGATGAGAAGTATAAATATATACCATTCTGACACCCTATTAGCTTGGACACAACCCATCACAGCTGCACGCTGTTAGAAAAATATATTTTTTGGAAAAGTCACCTCCCAATAAATGTCATTTTGGAAAATCTAACTGCTCACTTTTACTCAGTACTTTTACTTTTAATAAGTAGATTTTGTGTCAGAAATTTACTTTTGATACTTAAGTACAAAAAATATCGATACTTTAAGACTTTTATTCAAGTAATATTTTTTATAGAAGACTAACTTTTACCAAAGTATTTACGATACTTGCACTTTTACTCAAGCATCACTTTGAGGTACTTTATACAACACTGCTTTTAAACAGCCAATAAGCAACTGTGAATTTAACATCTGTTAATATTTTATGCATCTTTTTCTACAAGTTCCTTAATAGTCAAATGTGACCAACAAATACGTTTAACATCATTTAGTTTGAATTTTAAAAAACTGTTTTATTTTCACCAAATTTATCTTTTTTAAACAGTTTTTGGTTTTATTGATTTATGAGGGTTTTATAGTTATAATAGTGTTTTTTTTAAATCAACCTTCCTGAGACCTCACATGTGAAAATGACCCATGAGGTGTCAGCCGTTAACAGGAGGGTTGATATAAAATTGTAAATTATCTATGACTATATTTTAGTGGTTAGGCATTTATTCGGATGTACGTTTTCCTGTACAAG